TTAATACGGTAATCATTTTGTTTGGGAGTCCAGGTGATGATATTAAAGGACACACTCTGATTAAATCTGGTCGCATAAAGGGCAATTTCTGAACAGCAGAGAAGCAAAATGCTGTTTCCAAAGGAAAACACACAGTAATGAGGAGCTGCTGTGGAGCGGATAGCTTTGTTTTAGTCTAATTAATGTTACTTGAGTCAGCATCAGTTGGGGCTGAAGACTACAAGTTTGGAAATGAAAAAATGGGGTGTGTGGAGTTAAAAATAAGAGAGCTTATTAGACCTCTGCAGCCTGCCCGGGGCTACATTAGCACCACACAACACATCCACATTTCTGACGAAACTGGTGCTGGTTGACATGTATTGTGGGTAATGTAGGCATCTGGCTTTGATGAGGAAGAAGAATGGGTGGGGAGGAAAGAGGATTTCTCTGGTTCAGCATCATAAGTCCCCCAGAGTTATTGGCGTGTAATACTTCATTGTTGGAGCACGATATTTGCTGTATGATCCGTAACCATTAGTTAAAAATGTATTCAAAAGGAAAATGTACCGTAAATCAACTTTTTTTTACCACTAATAAATAAGTATGGCAAAAAGAAAAATTTTCAAGGCTAAGTCATACAGATATATCTAAAATATAATTTTAGTGGATGATATAATGGAGATTAATCATGATAAATAACAGAAAGCATGTGATTAATATCATCTGCAACCTTAATTTAGAGGCAGGCTAATCACTAGGTTTTTAACAATATGATGGATTCATCTTAAAATTCTTTGCTTAGTAACTTCTGAAGCAAAAACTTCAGCTATAATTTATATCTAACTAAATTATATTTTATATAAATGAAACCCTAAAGTTCTGGATATTGTTCTACAGTAAACTGAGGAGAATATGAAGTGAATCATTGTGTTATTTGGCTAAAACAAAAAGTAAAGCAGCCCTCAAAACATATTTGAAAAACACAAAAAAGCCCAAAGCAGAAACTGTGCTTTGTGTTTGATGTTTGATGTGAGGCTGAAGTATTCTTGAAGTATGTGATGATTTCCAGATGCTGTGACAGGTATCAGAAGAGGTTAGCTTGATGACCATTACTCATGCTAGAATAAGAGCTGGTAAGCAGCTGGCACTAATGTTAGCAGGACCGCAGGTGGGTGGATACAAAACTATGTTAAGGGATTACAGTGCCTACATACTGGAACACACACACCATTAGGCTGTGTTTATAGATAAAGCTAGAGTGTATGGCAGGCTGATTGCCAGTAGTTCACAGAGTGGAGGCCAGTGACATTCACACAACACAGACTTAAGAAATGGAGTCACAAGTCTACACCCACATCCTCATACAAATAAGTGAAAAGTATTTTTCCAAAAATATTAACATAGTATAATGTGATTAAGTAAAAAGTTCTCCAAGTCTCTATCTGTACGGGATGCACACTGTCTGTAATTGTATGGGGTGTCTGAGCAAGTACCGGACATTGAGTATGATTGTTACAACCACAAACACACAAACGAATTGCACAGCAATTGCCCCCAGCCATTAGGTGATGATACATGGTGGCTGTGATGCGACATGTTGACATTAAAAAGATTAAAATAATGGCAGTGAACATTCATTAGCTGTTCTATTTAATCATGTTTGAACTTTGAATACTCCACATCAGCTTGTGCTAAATTAAAATCATAGTTACCCCACTGGGCGGCTGTGGCTCAGAGGTGAAGCGGGTCGTCCACCAATGGGGAGATCCCCGGCTGCTCCAGTCTGCATGTTGAAGTATCCTTGAGCAAGATACTGAACCCCAAATTGTTCCCGATGATGCCTCCTACCTTGTATGGTAGCCTCGGCCACCAGTGTATGAATGTGTGTGTGAACGGGTGAATGTGACTCGTAGTGTAAAAAGCGCTTTGAGTGGTCGGATGACTAAAAAGGCGCTATACAAATGCAGGTCCATTTACCATTTGCAGGTCCATCACTTCATTCACATTGGTATAGAAGGACAATTGAAATACTTCTCAACCTGAACCTTTATTGAGCTGTACTTGTTACCACTGGTGAAAGTACAACTAAAGTTGAGAACATTAGAAATATCTGCAGGTAAAACAATGGGATTCTGAGATGTCATCTGCGCAGACAGATTTAGGTGACAACACGGCCTCCAGCCCCACCATCAGGTTTCACAGTAAATGCTTTGCTCTGTTAGTAGTAAAGGTTAAGGGTGGGAATCACCAGAGGCTCCACAATACAATATTATTGCATTTTAAATGTGTTGCAACATGATAAGTATTGTGATAAAATATAATGCAATATATTAGGATCCATTACGTTTTTTCAACTGTTAATTATGACCCCAAAGGAAAACTTTGTCAAGATTTGTATTATATAATAAGATATGTTTTCAGTCTGTTCATCTCACTTCAGTCACTTCAAAATGTGTGTAATGGACTGAAAAAGCTATTGATTTTATTATTCAAGTAGGCTACCTATAGTTTAATTTGTATTTGTAATATTATTTTTTTTGTTTGTTTGTTTGTTTGTTTGTTTGTTTTGGGGTTGTTTTGTTTTTATTTGTTTTTTTAGTATGTGTACGTGTGTGTAAAAAGGGTGGGCTAAATAAGCTTCAGCTTCAGCCTACACCTATTCGGTCAATATGTACAGTACAGGCCAAAAGTTTGGACACACCTTCTCATTCAATGCGTTTTCTTTATTTTCATGACTATTTACATTGTAGATTCTCACTGAAGGCATCAAAACTATGAATGAACACATGTGGAGTTATGTACTTAACAAAAAAAGGGGAAATAACTGAAAACATGTTTTATATTCTAGTTTCTTCAAAATAGCCACCCTTTGCTCTGATTACTGCTTTGCACACTCTTGGCATTCTCTCCATGAGCTTCAAGAGGTAGTCACCTGAAATGGTTTCCACTTCACAGGTGTGCCTTATCAGGGTTAATTAGTGGAATTTCTTGCTTTATCAATGGGGTTGGGACCATCAGTTGTGTTGTGCAGAAGTCAGGTTAATACACAGCCGACAGCCCTATTGGACAACTGTTAAAATTCATATTATGGCAAGAACCAATCAGCTAACTAAAGAAAAATTAGTGGCCATCATTACTTTAAGAAATGAAGGTCAGTCAGTCCGGAAAATTGCAAAAACTTTAAATGTGTCCCCAAGTGGAGTCGCAAAAACCATCAAGCGCTACAACCAAACTGGCACACATGAGGACCGACCCAGGAAAGGAAGACCAAGAGTCACCTCTGCTTCTGAGGATAAGTTCATCCGAGTCACCAGCCTCAGAAATTGCAAGTTAACAGCAGCTCAGATCAGAGACCAGATGAATGCCACACAGAGTTCTAGCAGCAGACCCATCTCTAGAACAACTGTTAAGAGGAGACTGCGCCAATCAGGCCTTCATGGTCAAATAGCTGCTAGGAAACCACTGCTAAGGAGAGGCAACAAGCAGAAGAGATTTGTTTGGGCCAAGAAACACAAGGAATGGACATTAGACCAGTGGAAATCTGTGCTTTGGTCTGATGAGTCCAAATTTGAGATCTTTGGTTCCAACCGCCGTGTCTTTGTGAGACGCAGAAAAGGTGAACGGATGGATTCCACATGCCTGGTTCCCACTGTGAAGCATGGAGGAGGAGGTGTGATGGTGTGGGGGTGTTTTGCTGGTGACACTGTTGGGGATTTATTCAAAATTGAAGGCACACTGAACCAGCATGGCTACCACAGCATCCTGCAGCGACATGCCATCCCATCCGGTTTGCGTTTAGTTGGACGATCATTTATTTTTCAACAGGACAATGACCCCAAACACACCTCCAGGCTGTGTAAGGGCTATTTGACCAAGAAGGAGAGTGATGGAGTGCTGCGGCAGATGACCTGGCCTCCACAGTCACCGGACCTGAACCCAATCCAGATGGTTTGGGGTGAGCTGGACCGCAGAGTGAAGGCAAAGGGGCCAACAAGTGCTAAACACCTCTGGGAACTCCTTCAAGACTGTTGGAAAACCATTTCAGGTGACTACCTCTTGAAGCTCATGGAGAGAATGCCAAGAGTGTGCAAAGCAGTAATCAGAGCAAAGGGTGGCTATTTTGAAGAAACTAGAATATAAAACATGTTTTCAGTTATTTCCCCTTTTTTTGTTAAGTACATAACTCCACATGTGTTCATTCATAGTTTTGATGCCTTCAGTGAGAATCTACAATGTAAATAGTCATGAAAATAAAGAAAACGCATTGAATGAGAAGGTGTGTCCAAACTTTTGGCCTGTACTGTACATATTACTGTGAACGAACTATGCATATTTTGAGATGTAAGACTGAAATAAATTCATTCATTCATTCATTCATTAATAATTTATGTAATGAAAAAAATCAATACTTAGCACATCGTGATGATATGATTTTGCCACACAAAAATATCACGATACTATGCTGTTTCGCCCAACCCTAGTAAAAATATTTTAAAAAGCAACATTTTCTGATTTTAATCTAACTGCTGGTTTTCTGTCACAATAATCACAGCCTCACAGATCTGCTACTGTGGCTATTACTGCAGTCTGTAGGAGTGGATCAGTGTGCACACATGCTTACCTAGAGCTAACCTATTTGCCCTAATGTACTTGTCGCTCTAATGTAAATCTAATAAAAAAGTCATGAAAAAGCTTCTCTATATCTCATTGGAAAAATAAGATCTTCACAGTAGGCCAAGAAATATAAATTAGGGTAAACACGCATGTATACACACATACTGTAGGTACAAACAGACTAATGTATTTGTGCGGCATTCATGATCTTATTGTGTGATGCACAGACAGCTGACTCCATCTCCTGTCCCATTGTAAGCTGTCAAGATAAAAGAGAAGACGTACAGGAAGGAAAGCATAGGCCACATAAATAATACCTGCCATTCTTTAATCATGAAGAACTTATGCCCTTCCCCCCGGCATCCTATCTCATACTTCTCTCCCCACATCTCTATGCATACCTGCAGGACAGCGCCACTATGCAGTTCTGTGCCAACAAGCTGGACAAGAAGGACTTCTTTGGCAAGTCGGACCCTTTCATGGTCTTCTACAGGAGTAACGAGGATGGAACGTAAGTGCTTGATGTGATTTTGTTTTGTCATTCCTAGTGTTTGGAAATAGGTTGGTGCAAGTACTGGTGCTGCCAGTGGACGAGGAAGCTCCCCTGAGACAAACATATTGCACTGAGATGCAGTCCTGGCACAGTGAAGTAACTGCTCTCAAAAACCACACTTAAAACAACAGATGCTGAATTTTGTGTTACAAGCTCTCCAAAGTCCACGGTAAGGAAACAGTCAGATATTAGGTTGCTTTTCTTATAGCAGGATAAATTAACTCATATGCGAGTCTGGAAAATCTGCTTTGAAAAATTAGTTTTGAAGTACAATATCATAAAGGTTACAGTAACATAATAAAGAATTCAGATGGAAACCATCTGGGGAAGAGAAAGAGGCATAAACAGAGGGAACATTAGAGGAGATACAGCAGAGAAGGATGAGAATATATGTGAAGAGAAGAGCTGCAGTGGTTACTGAAGCATGCACAAGTTAAGAGGCTGCATACAGAGGCAAGTATCCTGTTCACAACATAACCACAATTCCTATGACAATACCTTACATAAATGACTCCAGGAGGACAAATAGGAACGAGAGGCAATTAATGTAGAAAAACATAAAAGCAAAGGAAAAAAACACAATCTACATTTTCCATCAATAGTGAAGCCGCTGTCACTTTCTGAGGCAATTCATGTAGGGGTGAACAGCACTCCCCTATCTCCTCATGCCTTCCCAGAGTGCTGTTCATCCTCCCAAGGGGCTGTGCAGTTGTGGCAGCGTCAGCCCAATCTAGCCGAAGATGCTTTAGCAAGTGCTTCATTAGCTGTCTTCCAGCTTTTCTCAGGGGTTTTTTTTTTTTTTTTTTGGATACATAACAGGGTGGGAAATGGATCCCCGCAGATGTGCTAGAAGTATCAGTTGTTGGTGCCAGAGGGGGGTACAAATTAGAGGCCTGTGCAGCAAAAGGACTAACAGGGTTTTAAAAGGCTTGAGGCACTTAGTGAAGCACAAGTAATCCAAGGCTTTGGGTTAAGAAAAAAAAGTGTGATACGCCTTGTTGCTTTTCGAGAGGATATTTGAGGGGTATGTGATAGGAATTTATGTGGCTCTGCTCTGCGAAGCATTGCAGATATCAGAGAAGGCCATTTGCATATCATTGTCACACTCTTGGTCAAGGGAAATGGTTTAATAGCCAGACTGAAATATCAATTTATTCTCTGTGGTCTCAAACACAATATAGCTGGGAGTCAGGCCAAGTGGTAAACAAAGCTGGGTACAGCTCTATTTAAAGCATCTCTCGTGCCACTGTAGGATTTCACAGTCTTTCCTGTTACCTCCGTCTCTTCCGTTACATGCCCCTCCCCTTATTTGCATATTTATCTCTTTCCCTGGTGTTTGTAATCAACAAATAATATTTCTGTCTCTGCTTCTGTCCTCCTTCTCTTCCCCTAGGTTTACTATCTGCCATAAAACAGAGGTGGTGAAGAACACATTAAATCCAGTGTGGCAGCCTTTCACTATCCCAGTACGAGCGCTCTGCAACGGAGACTATGACAGGTACAGTGCAGTCTCCCCCTCTTCTTGACACCGTCTGATCCCCATGGCTGCTGTTTATCCTCTCACTGCTACTCTTGGCACCCCCTCTATCTCTGCCTTATTCCACACACAAACACAGAAACACTTGCACACACACTTTGAATAGTCGACAATATTGACCTGACTGACATCGTCTTCCTTCATTGATTTCTGTTGGCTCAATCTATTGAGTGCCTTCATGGCTCTAATCAAAATCTCTCTGACTGACAAATTGCTTACTGATGGTGGACATTACATGCTTAGTGTTGATGAGTTAAACCAGCAGAAATCAATACCAGTTCAACATGGTGTAGTGTTAAGCCTCCTGTTCTTTCTATTGTCACATAATTTCTGCTGCTGTGTGCCTCTGTATATTGATCTTTGCTAGAGTAGCATGGAACAGGCACAATGAGCCTTTCTAATCTCCAGTGACCTTCCTGCTGTGTTACTGTTATCAGTGCTATTCTCCTGAGATATAATCTGAGTGATATACACCCATCAGCCACAACATCAAAACCACTAGCAGGTGAAGTAAGTAACATTGATCTCGTTACAATGCAATGTTCTACTGGGAAACCTTGGGTCCTGACATTCATGTGGATGCCACTTGACACACACCACCCACCTAAACACCGTTAAAGACCGAGAACACCCCCTCATGTCAATGGTATTCTATGATGGCAGTGGACCACCCAGCAGGACAGTGCGCAGTGCCACACCACAAAAACTGGTCAACAGTGGCCTGAGGTACTTGACAAAGAGCTCGAGGCATCGATTTGATTGAGCATCCATGGAACATACAGGTCAAAGCCAAGGCCAAGCCACGGTGGGGCCTCTGACCCATCAAGGCATGGACACAGGAACTCTGGGGATGGCCTGTGTTGTCTGGCACCAGAGCATTGGCAGCGGATCCTTTGAGTCCTGTAGCTTGCGAGGTGAGGTACAAGCATGTCCCATCAGAATCATCAGATTGTTTACTAAACCCTTGCCCAAAACAGGGGTTTACTAAAGCATTTGCAAACCCCAAAACACCATAGCAAAAGTTCAAGGAATGAATGTGCTAAGGTAACCTGCAAATATCATCATGTCTGGTTAACCAGCTGGCAAACCAAGCGCTACTTCCAAGGCCATGGAGTATTCGGTTACATTATTCTGTGGGGTTACAGGTTACAGGGTATGTTGAAAAATAAGTCTTGTTCATGGCAAGCACACCTACTGCGTCCTCTGTCCGGTCCTGGGTGCTACTAATGAGTGTAAGTGAAAGATCTGATCTTGCTGCCTAGACTGCTAACATTCATGCTTAAAGTGACCCATATCTGACATCGGTGTGAATGGATCTCTGCCCTGAAATGCATCAAATGCAATGAATAATGTCACTCACGTTCGATAGAACAACAAAAAATGTCACATTCATGAAACAGGCATTTGGGGGCAAAATGAATGACAGCGATAAAAGTGTTCATCTCCCGAATGATCACCATGGTAGGAAGGTCTGACAATGTCATTCTGCATAATAATTAGCCATGTGCTTCGTTTGGGAGAGTGTGCAGTGTGTTTTTGGAGAAATGGCTCTTCAGAGCAATATGGACATCTGTTGCTGGGATAACTGGCTATCTTATAAATAGGCTTTCAGTCCACTGGCTTTATTAGCACTGCTGGTAGTTGTGCAGAGAAAGAGGTGTGTGCAGCCGGGAGAGGAGTCAGGAGTGGTAGGCCCACAATGTGGACGGTTTCACGGTGGAAAAATTCCTCCAAAACTTTCGGATGTCCAGGGTTAGATTAATATCTCTGTTGGCGCCTCATAACAACATTGTCTCAGCATGTAGGCAAGCTGCCCCGTCAGAAAACGTCTGGCAGTCGGGCTCTATCAGCTGGCGATTGGGGCAGCCTAATGCCATGGCAGCCTTCTGTAGTAAGGGCTCCATCATTGCATGATGAGCAATCTGCTGCTGTGCAATAAAGTATAATGTGGAAAAACCATGGATGTATGGGAAAACATGTGAATTCCAATATCACCGTTCTCACTGCAGTCGTATAACCAGTGAATGGATATGTATCAGATTTAGGACCACATGTGAAAGTGGCCCACATTTGATTGGTACGAAAAATGGGATTTCTATGTCCGCAATACTCTGAAATCTTGTAATGTGAACATAGCCTGTAGCTTTAGCATTATATCAGGTATGTAGCCATCAAGTACATCTTTAAAAAACATTCACAACATTGTCCTTTTCAAATGAGTCAGTTGGACACATTAAAAAGTCAGCTGGAGACAGACCGCCTTATGATCCGACTTACTGGCAGTTGATACTATCTGCATGTGATAGTTCTTATTTCAAGCACGTTATCATTGTAAACTGCAAAAACCGAAAGCTTGCCATTAACAGTCAGTTGAATGTTATCCACACAGAATAAATGATATTAGGAAAGTTGATATGAAGGAATAAGATAAGAATACTCTAAGTATAATTTGATCTATTCATCATTGCTGTGCTTTTACACTTCAGCCCTAGAAAACAGTGGATCACAATACCGACTAAATATCTAAAATAATGATGGGTTGCTCTTCCCAGTTGGCACATAATTAATGTTGACATGTTGTGTCAGAGGGGATATAAATTCATTTTTCTCCCAGCTTATCTGCCTGCTTCTAATTTAAAAGGCAGTGCCGGGAAGAAAACAAGCTAAATCATGAAGGAGCTGTGAGGGAAGATGAAAAAGGAGTGACAGATTACTTTTGTGGGGGGAGAAATATTTCATGTGGCATACTGTATCTTTTTTCTGCCTCTCTGTCTATTCTCGTCTCTCCCTCACAAAAGGTGTCTGTCCTGTCTTCTTTGTATGCAGTCAAACTCTAATTACTTAGAATGCTGAGAACCCCATGTGTGCTCAGAAAACTGAGATAAATCCCAAACAGACAGACGGGAACAAAGCTACCGAGGGGGGTTGCCTCAGGAAGTATTTGATACTTGGGAAATATCAGGTGAATTTGTGCGAGGCAGCCAATCACACATGAGCTTGAGAAGGGGTCACTACCCTGTCAGAGCCAATCATACACAAGGGACTGAGCTGGCCATCAAAAGTTCTTCGTTCCTATGCCATGAAACATGCACACGCACATGCCCACACCTAGAGTATAATAAAATGTGACAAGCCACAAGCTGAAACAGCCTGAAATTCTGCAAGTCTTGAAATATCACCAAGACAGTGCTATAAACAGGTTATATCCCTAAGCGTGGGTGAGGAATAAACTTTGTGTTTTTTTGTGTCCATATTTCTAAGACTGGGGGTGGGAGGGTTATTTTTCAACCACCGTGATGTTACCTTATCATTCAAGCTGTATTCATGCAAGAGACATGGCTCTTGAGGCTGTCATTTCTTTTGATCTGTTTAATTACTGTTTACATCTATCAACTGAGAGAAAGCTTCCAGTGAATTGACAGCTGCTAATGTGGTGCCCATTTCCTACAAAATAAATAAATAAATAAAAATAATAATAATCAATGAAATCATTTCAGACCAATTTCTATTACATGTATCAAAACTCTATGTTTAAACAATTAGTGATCACATCCATTCAGTTGTTAATAATTAGTTTGTAAATCAAAAGAAATGCTCAGCCACAGTTGCCTTGAATAGAGCCTGGCAGTCCTGGTTGAATGTCCTACACCTCTATGAACGAGACATTTAACACAGACTGACCAATATTGCTGTTTCCTTTTGGCCCACTGCAGGATCCACAGAGTTCTCATCAAAGGCTTAAAGGGACAGTTCATCCAAAAATCAAAAACACATATTTTCCTCTTACCTGTAGTGCTATTTATGGGGATGCACCCATTGTGAAATTCTGGGCCAATACCAATATTCAAAATGGCCGATAGTGATACTTTTTGCCGTTTTATTATGTTTTTGTTGTTATTTATTCCCCCCTTTGTGCCAGGAAGACAAAGAAGTCCTTATTATAAAACAAGTTGAAGTGTTTTAAAGTGTTTCAGTCCTTCATTACACTACCTTTGACGAAGCACAAAGTCAATCCTTCACATTTATGAAACAACCTTAACATAACCTTCTTTCACATGGAATTTCTTTTGAATATAAAAAACCCCAAACACTTCAACAGTCTTTTTTCTATATAGATCTTCCTTCCCTCTCAATATCTATTTTATACTGCTGTGACAACATCAACAAATTTCTCCATAAAACAACTGTATTTATTGTAAGTTTCTCACTGAAAGCCACATTTTACAAGATTACATTTTAACACATCACGAGGACATTAAAATTTACCTTCACCCAATACTCAATTTTACTGAATAGAGCTTGAACACATCATAACGTAACTCAACGCAACCTCCGTCAGCTGTTAGTTCTGGCCACTGGCTGCTAACAGCTTACAATAACTAGCTTTCTTTCTGCCAATATCAACACAGATTTGTTGTTCACAATGTAGCGTCATCTGCGAAACAAGGGGGTGCCTCCCCTGACGCATTGATAGCAAGTTTCTACATCCTTTTGTCCCGATGGTGTCCCAGGCTGATTGCTTATTATCCCAAACAGATTTTCTACTGCCCCCAGGACAACAGAACTCCATTAGTCTTGAGCCCTGTTTTTTAGCCTGCACAAAATTGATGTGACACAACAGAAAATCATCGGCCTCTACCATCAGTGAATGTTATCTTATTTGCTGATAGGCCCATGGCAGTCAACAAGGCAGATGTCAGCTGATACAGACGTGTGGCCGATTAATCAGTGAATCCCTAGTTATTTATCAGTCTTGATTGTTTTGGTGTGAGTTACTGAGTGCTGGAGATATCAGCTGTAGAGATGTCTGCTTTCTCTCCAATATAATGGAACTAGATGGCACTCAGCTTGTGGTGCCCAAAGCACCAAAAAAAAATACATTAGAAACACAAAACAGCAATGTCTCTTTCTAGAGATCATGACCCGGTTACTCAAGATTATCCACAGACCTTGTTGTGAGC